TGTGTAAAAATGAATATATCAAGAATAAATGTCCATCATTGAAAGAAAACTTGAACGGATTTTGCACACAGAATTAAAAAAAGAATCAGCAACTTTTTTTTGTCCTAACCTCCATTATCTGAAACTGGAACCTATATTAGCTGTAACACCCGTCAAGTCCACGTTGCGGTTCTACGGGTTATAGTTCATACAGGTGACCAGAACGAGCTTTTTGGGATCAATACATTGTTTAAGAAGTAGCTCAGGAAAGGAGGCAAATCGCTACTATCTCGACACTATCGGTTTAGACAGGCCACGAGAAAGAAGCTTACTGAGCAAAAACCACGAAAGTAACAATGTATTCAGTTTGAAAACTTGCAGCTAATTTGACACTCCAAGCTTTTGCCAGACTGCCTGGGCCAGACGATCAAGGTTTTCTCTCGTAGCTCTTTCGCCATACTTGTCAATCAACTGCACCAGCGCCGGGTCCAGCACAATTGTCCGAGAAACGCTGAGGGTGGACCGTGTGAGAATTTCAGCATCAAATCGCTTCAAAGTGGAGCTCGCTTCCATCACTTCCACTAAATCAATCCAGAGACGTTTTTCGCCGTGAAGAATCACGTTTGACACGCGAGGATCTCCATGCACCAGGTCATTCGCGTGAAGCTGCCATAACAGTTCAAAGAGGCTTCGTACTTCTTGTTGTGTCCTTGGGCGAGGCAGAGGTTCCCCAACTGGAGACAGCAATAGTGCTGCACTTTCAGGAGTTTCGATGAGCTCTCCCACAAGACTTATTGTCAAGCCTGTATGCTGGGCACGCGTCAAGGCCTTCTTCTCTTGATAAAGACGTCCCACGGAACATTTCTCCACAATTTGTAGTGCAAAAACCTTCCCATCGCGTCGAATGACCTTAAACACGCGTCTATGAGCGCCACGACCAAGAAACGCTTCGCCCACCACCACGTCGACGCCCAAACACAAGCAAGCAAGAGTCAAGCGCGACACCCACGGAGATACGTTGTCAGTAATGAAGTTCTGAAACAATGATTTCGATCCGTTGTTGGTCCACTTTGCAATTTGAGCTTTGACAACGACCGATTTGTGGCTTTTAATCAACCAAAACGAGCGGCGATCAAACAGAATAGCGCTTGCTGGTGCCTCGGGGAGAAGATTATGTAGATATCGTGCCAATTGTCCAAACGCAGCTTCAGTTATGGTGAGCTTGCTTTCGAATAGAATGCGGCAGTCAAACAATTCTTCCTCTGCTACTCCAAACCGAAATTCACTCGGACGTTTCACTCCATCGTTTGGTACTGGCTTGCCACGAAACATACCGCGGTGAGTCGCAAATCCATACGGTTTGAGATCTGTATTCTTGGTCACAACTGTGGACTGAGACAACCATTGATATTTCTCGCTATTGACGAAGATCATACCACAGCTGTGTAAGATGGTGCTGAAAAACGGAGTAATAAAGGCGTCGAAAACAGCCTTATTCGTAATGGCGTCGGCTTCAATCTGACTTTCCTCCGACCAAAATGCTTCTCCATCTCCTATTGGCGCAACTTCAATGATCAATTGGTCCTTTTCCAATCAATGCCGCATCAGAGTAGGACTTTGACGGTTTGTGTGGCAAAGAGGCCACAAGTTGCTCAAGTTGCATTTCAAGCCGCATTTGCTGAACGCTAGCTTCTCGAAGCAGAGCCAATGAATCGTGTTCGCTCGTGGCACCTTCCGGAACCACCACCAACACGTGGATTTCCCCTTCGTTTGGCTCAAAGTTGTCTCAAAAGTTCTTCGGGTTCTTGATCCACAGCAACGGATCCATGTGCGTAAAGCCTTCCGGTGTCCATGTTTATCGAGCGTCACAGCTTCCGCGCCGCTTCCATCGAGCCACTTGTCGTCGCTCTTCCGGGCGAGGAACAGCTCGAGCTCATCTGCATCGCACTTGATCTTGTTCTCCTTCTCCTTCTTGATGGCCTTCTTTAAGTCATCCACAGACTCGCTCGCATCGATCGTCACGGAGAAGGCGTTTCCCTTCACTCCAACGAGCGCACAGAACAGCTTCACCATGCTTCCAATTCCTTTCTATGAGCGAGGGACGTTCTCTCTCATATTTCAGCCAATCAAATGGTGCAATCAACTGTATGTACAAATTATATTAATTTATATAGATAGATAGACACAAAAACGCATGGATACTACGTATCTATCCGATACGATAATACTGGTTATGTTGATGATGTCGAACAACAGGAACTGGTAGATACCGAAATAGCGAGTGATTTATATGAGTACTCGAAAATAGAAAAGCATTCAGCATCTGACATAATACAGCTCTGTAAGGAAATTGATTTCATTAGTGCAAGTATCAAGAAGTGTCAAATCATCATCAACGAAAAGCACACTAACTAGGAAAAACACGTATTTTGTCGTATCCATCATAATATTTGAACACAACTCCATCAATTTTATCGTTTCGAATATTCTCAATAATTGATTTATGCAACATACGGTTATATATGGTGCGACTGGTTATGGAAGTCTACGAGATTCATATGTATTGTGCCTTTCTGCCAAAACGCCCTCAGTTTTATGGTCCTACGTAGGAGGGTGGCCTGCCAAGTTTCCAAGTGATGTAATATTAGTTTGTGCAGCTGTTGATAATGTTCCAGTTAATGTTGTTGCTGATAAAGTACTTGCAGACAACTTATTTGCTACTGAAACATTACCATTTGTAAGAATAGACATTTGAATAGATCCACTATTAGCAGCAAAAGTTAGCGGATGATTTGAAAACGTTTGTAGACAGCATTGTGTTCCATCAAACCATTGTTGACATGTAACTATACCATCGGTAATCTGATATAAAGCGCTATTTACAGCAGTAGATCCAATAATATCTAATTGTCTTGCTGGAGCTGTATTATTAGTGCCTACTAAACCTGTGGATCCTATCGTTATTTTTCTATTTCCATTTGTTCTCAAATGAAACTTATTTGCTGTTGTACTGCCAAATGTCTGATCTCCAGATACAGAATCAACAGATAATGAGCATGTGCTGCTCAATAGGGAGTTATTACAAGTTAGAGGAGTAGATCCACTAATATTCAGTGTTGATGATAGTGTTCCAAGCGAGGTGATATTTGGTTGAGCTGCAGTTAGAAGGGTACCAGTAAATTGCGACGCTGAGAGACTATTAATGTTGGTGATGACTCTATTTGAATCAACAGCAATCAATTTACCAGCAGAAGCAATTCCTAGTGTAATACCCGACAACACACTCAAATCAATCATTGTTCCATTTTGATAGATGTTTCCTGTAATGTACAAATCCAATGTGTAATTTACACCGTTTCGCTTGTTATATCGCAAATCTCCAACACTAATTGTTAGATAGCTAAAGGAGCCAATGTAGTCTAATGTAACGATGATATATAACTCGAAGGAAGCACATTTTATTCTATTATATATAGCAACACATTTTAGCTTTTCAAACGAAATCGTAGATTTCTGGCAACCTGGTTGCTAATATGAGTTCAATTCCTGATTTTAGTGGGATGCTTCCTAAAGCATTTAAGAAGAACTCTTTCCGAGTAAATGAAAAGCTTGGTATCCAGAAGCTCTTCCGAATGATAGTTTTAGGCTCAAGCTTCTCTGGTAAATCAAATCTAGCTTTCCATATACTTAAAGAGTCTCCACACGTCTATAGCCACTTACATATTATAGCCCGCAACCCTGAGCAAGAGTTATATGATTACATCAAAGAAAAATTACAAGGTTTTGTAACGTTTTATGATTCTGATGCACCTCCAAGTGTTGATGCCATCAAAGAGATTCCAAATGCTTTACAGCTTGTTATTATTGATGATTATTCCAACGATAAGAAGCTAGAGAAAGGTTTATTTAGTCATTTCTTTACTCGAGGAAGACACAAAGGACTTTCAACAATTTTCATAGCTCATAGCTATTTGGCTTCTATATCGCTATGAGAGAAAATGCAACTTACTATTTTTGCGAAATCACTTGCTTGGCAACACCAACTTCTGTTCCACTTGGATATTCACGTCCATCGACTGGTTTATACTCATTAACCGAAACTGGATTACCAACCGCTACTAATTACAATGTTGGACCGCGGAGTTCGGAGTTGCTTGTGTTGTATTAAGCAAAATACAGAATGATCAAACCAACAACTAAAGACAAATACAAAGGAGACCTTCTCCAGAGCTACACTTCAGGTTGTTGGCAGCTGGTTGAGGATCACGAGATCAGAACACACCTCAGCAGCCACCGTTGATGGCAACAAATGAACTCAAAGGTTGGTAGAGCCTTCGAGTCCTCAGACTCTCTCAGCAACAGGTGAGAACATTACACTAATACTCCTCGATTCACTGTTGCAAACAACGGATTTTCAAATGTGATTGGATTCGGTTCAGCAACGTACCCATCAAGTATTCAAACAACAAATCAAGTCTTCTTGAGCAATATCTCCCCACAAGTAAATCCCGTCAGCAATTATTTAATTCGTTCTAATCTCATTAACAATCGGGTTAGCACACCATCTGATATTATGACTTCGTTGAGTCCTCAAGGGACATCAATCGGTCAGTTGATCTCAATTCAGCCACCTGAATATTAATGGCTCTCTATTAATGATGGAGCATACAGTAATATTACTATGAGTATTGTTGATCAGGATTTTAACAATGTGAGATTTGAAGACTCGTGATAGAAAACAATAAATGTAATATTATATAGACTCGATAATGTTTCCAAGTTTTAAATCTCTCCGTGATCGAAAAAATAAATTGAAGCAACTCGCTGCAACGACGGGAATACAAGCAGCTCCATCAATGACAACAATGGGGATGCAAGCAGTACCGACGATGACTACAACAGGCATGCAGGCAATATGATTTAGCTGATATTGGAGATGAGGAAGACGCCTTGAGTGATATTGATGACTCACAGAGTACATATGACTTTGGGACTCAAGTTGAAGCTAATGATTTCAACTTTCAAAGGAATGCACGAGAAAAAAATAATTGATCAATACACCATTAATCCAACTACTATCAAAAGAAAGGTCAATACGATTCTAAATTCTGGTACTGCAGATTAAAACGTATATATTGGGACGGATGGTAAACTATTTAATGTAAATAACGGAAAGTTAGCAAACTACTAAATAAGTATGATTGGGTTGCAACGTATGATTATTTATTATATCTTATTGACATTGAGACAAAAGATACGGCTGTTGGTTCGTCGCATCAGTTTGGATTGAACATTGAGTCTGGAGCATACAAAGTGCTTCGCGATATTCTGATGAACAATACCTTCCAGAAGGTACTAGATTACCGATTCCATATAAGAAGGGAAGAAACCAACAAGGTGGCTATATTCCAGTAAATGGAGGTTATCGAGTGAATTACTGGACGGAAAATTGACAGTTATTGATGGTGATCGAATGAAAACCAACAGAGAAGTCTCATGGGAGGCGACACTTGATATATACTTGCGTGTAACCCCGTTACACTTATTATGATTGCCACGGGTGCAACTATTTCGGACGCAAAATAGTACCACGTTGGCAGCTTTATTTATTTTCAGCGCGTTGTCCAAATCCTCCCAAGTAGAGAAAGCAATGGGATCAAGAACCGGTTTGGGTTCCTGGACGTGAGTCTTCAATTTATTGCGAAGATACTCCATATCGGATTTCTTTTGACGTGGTATATATTGTGAGATGTTGTGAGTTGAATACAGCCTTGATTTTTTCTGTGTAGCCGACCCCAATAAATTTGAAGGCTGTAATACTAGTTAATATTGAACAAGCGATGACAGTAAGAGTTATAACAATTTATAACATTAAGACATTTACCTTCTTCGATTTCCCGAGAAGGGTTCAATGAGTCAATAGTGGAATCGCCGCAATGATCGGGTTGAAGTCTTCGTTTTTCCTTTCTGGGCGAGTCCTCTCCGTCGTCTGTAATACTGCGAGCTGGTTTATTGGTTAAGCTATTTAGAATAGGGATAGCTATGACTTGGTTCAACATCACTTACTTGTTGATCCCATTGCCACTTCAATTTCATACAGTCTCCAACTTGAGGCGGGATACTACTTCTCCGTTTACACCACGGTCAACACGCAGCGCCGTGCGACGATAGTAGTTCGCTCGGTCAGCACCGAGCGCGGCAAGACGGTTGCTCACTCGTTTGGTCGATTTATTCGGTTTCGACTGCTCTCCCGAATGGTCGGTTTTTTATTTGAGTGCATTTTACTTTCCATTTAGCTTCGTAAATTTCCTCTTACAACAAAAATAGACAGTTAAATTAGCGCACCTTTAACATGTTTCAGTGCCTTTAACGAAAGTAAACATAAGCTTCTTGAAGGTGCTTGAACGGCTTTCCTTGTAGCCTGCCGCCGATTTCTTTGCCATCGACGAAGCGCAACGACGCGGGTATCGTAGTACCGCCGACCAAGTCGGAAAATCTAGAGCTCGAAGCAGCACTCGACTGTGTATGGCATTAATTTGTCCGTCGCACGTACATTCCCTCACATCATTGTAAACTTTTCTTCTTGTCTAGAGACCTTGAATCTGCTCGATGAAGATATTTGTAACATGCAAAGTTCGATGCTAGAAAAGTTCTCTGAAATTTATTTCTGAGCTACTCGCCCACTTAATAAATTAAGGGAGATTTTACCTTTTGGATTCAGACGATGTCTGCGAGTGAAGTTCCTCCGTAGCTGTACTTTTGCATTTACATAACATGTATTTTACTTGCTTTTAATTTCGAAGATTAGCTTGTGTATTGTGATATCATAGTACCGGTACTTGACACGCTCGATTCCACCGGATTAGAAGACTTGCTTTTTATACAAAACCTTAAAAGATTGTTAAAAATAATACTTCGAAGAACTGTCAAACTTGAAACAATGTGGTGATACAAACCCACTGTCATATGAGGCTAAAATCAGTCTCAAAGGGTTGCAACAGAAATCTTGGAGAAGTCTCGCAAATCGAAAGATATTTTGTAAATCTCCATATTTGAAAAGTTTCATTCGAATTTCCCTAAAGATCATGAATGTGCACCTCATCAACCACCTAAATAATATCAACTATACTTGATCAAGAGCTGTTTAATGGGGAGCTGCTCTTAAGGGAGGATAACTTATTAGTAATACTGATATTAAAAAGTACTAAGTGAGAAGTCGCCTGTATTTTATAATGGGTTGATATTACTAAATTGGATGAAAGAATATGACGTATTTTATGAATAGTGTCCCTGACACTTTTACTGAACATGTATTATACCGTATTTGTGGGATCTAGTAAGACACAAATAATTGGTCCTAATCAAGTCAAAAATAAAACCTCGTTTAGGTTTTTCTATAAGCGCGCAAATGACTCCCGCCTCTCATTCAAGAACAAGATACAGTACGTTTCCTTTATATTTTTTGCATTTGCTAGTTTTCTAATATTTATGTAGAGATATATATCTCGAATAGCACAGGGACCATGATTTTTTTAGAAGCGCAAGTGAGCGTCGTTTGCTTGGGATATGGTGGACAATGAGGCCATTATCACTGACTTTAGAAAGGCTAACCATATTCCTAAAGGCCCTCGAGATGCCAATGGCAAATTTAGGACTTTCTTGTTGCCACCTCCGGAAGATGCGATTGTGCCTGAGTAATTTCAAATCACAGAACTTGTTTGGATTTCGATATATTATACTTTCGTTATTGTCGCATTTCATTAATTGAAAGAGTTTTGTAAGTGAATCAGAAAGGGTGTCACCCTTATGAATTTGATGTCTTACTTGATCCGTATGTCTCATTCGATCCGACAAATACGATAATATTAATACCGTCTCCTGAGCATTACAAAACCTGGAGAGGGTGCTTATATTTGTACCAATGGACACAATTTCAGCAGCCAATTGAAATGTAATATGGTCCAACGCATTCATAGGCGAGTTTCCCAAAACATAAAGTACGATTTGGTCCAATATTACATTTTGGTTAGCTCGTACTACGAACTTCGTAGCTGGGAAATATATTTTGCTTAGACTAAGTGCACTGCATACCCAAAGTCGTGACGACGTAGCTTGATATTGACGGAAGTGGAGCTGATATCGCCGACTTAGTGCTATATAAGTACAGTAACATTGATGGTACTTATAACTGCATTCACGTTCATCAAGAAGGTCAATATTGGTTACTGTGGGAGTCTGCCCATGGAATAGCGTCTCCAAGAAGACTCCGACGGCCCTGCATATACCAGTAGACGTAGTTTGAAGTGAATATCCTCACTGGAAACCACAGCTGTGCCCACGAGCTTTACCGTCTTGCTCGAAGCTACACCCGATGGCATCTACATGCTCGGAGCTATGGCCAGCGTCATGGGCTACCCACATTGGCCTGAGCTTGCCCGGCGTCGTGTCAGCGGCCTTGCACCAGCATGAGCATCTCCGCCTTGGCAAATGGGTCTATACGATGTCATCTCCGTGATTTTAGTTAGTGCTGCGTGCGGCGTCGTGTCCACGATTTCACCACCCTGCAGTACCGCGGTCCCAGAGCTCGTGGACATGACGCCGGACACAGCTCTAGCCCTAGGCACTGTGATCCTTGTAATTCTCTAGCAGCACGACTTTCACCTTCCTGTGATTGCAGAAGAGCCGGTACCCGCAGTGCAGGCGCCCGGTAATTGCTCTGTCGTCCAGTAGATGACTGGCTGCAGTGCAGTTCAATAGTTAGATTATATATAATAGAGCTTTTGGGTTTTGGCTGGTGGCGGCGCCTCTCACTCCAGCATTTGCACCGCCAGCCTTTCTCCCAGCGGACACTTGAGTCCCACACATAACAGTATTAACGCAAGTTACCTTTGCACCAGTATGGTAGAGACCCGAAGCCGGGCTGCTACCAATTCACAGGTTATGAGCCCAACAAGGGACTCATCCAGCGCCAACTCGTCGCCACCGCCGGCAGACGAAGCCCCTTTAGCCACGGAAAATTCGGGTGTTGCACTAACCCGCATCGAGCGACAGCTTGAAGGGCTATTGGCCCATTTCCCATCACTGGCCACGCAGGCACATCAGTCGTTGACCTCGCCGGTTGCAGCTGAGAAAACTACGCCGCAACCACAGCGGCGTCTCATTCGAGAATCCAACGCCACCCAGCCCGCGCAGGAAACACAGCGTGTTCTCACCCCGTACGGGACCCGCAGAAATCCAGTCGCGGAAGACCTTCCGGCGCCCTCCAGCCAGACCGACACCAGCTTACGCTCCTCCAAGACGCCGAGACCCCCAAACACAAGTCCGCCCCCGCAACGCAGGGTGTTGCCGCCGCCACGCCCCAACACTCGCCCTCGCACTTGGACCTCCCGGCCGACCCGATGAGTGGTCAGCACCGCTGCACGCGGTGCATGAACGCGAGCAACAAGTCTCCCCCAACGCCCGCCGGACCGATGACAACTACAAGACGTGGCGGGCTGAGATATGGACGATCTTGGACGCCTCCAACTTGCTGCCCCCGCTGCTCAAGAACGAGCGCATTGAAGATCAAGACAACGAGGCGCAGCGCAGGCGTTTTCAGCAGCCCCTGTGCGTGGCGCAGCGTGAGGTTGTGATGGCTCTCAGCGAAGAGCTTCAAGGCCGGTTCTCAAATGTGATTGAGCGTGCTGACCCGGTGTTACTGTGGAACACGCTGGCCGACCACAACGACAACCGCCCTGGTGTCAACACGGTGTTCTTGAAGCGCGACCTTCTCAACCGCCGCTTGCAGCGCGATGAGCCATTGGAGAGATACATCAAGGACGTGGATAACTACAAGCAGCGCCTTCGCCGAGCCAACCAGCAACTACCAGAAGTAGAAGCTGTTTCAATCCTATTATATAATAGAGATGGAGTATACCCAGCGGTCGTTAACGAACATGAAGTACGGCTTGCCCGCGGCGAGTCCATCTCATGGGAACAGGCCATCGAGCGCCTTCGTCTTGCTGAGCACGCACGACAAGTAACTGAGCGTCAACAAGGCAGTAGTGGACGTGTAGTTCAACACGACGTTGCATTTGTTGGTGACCGCGGAGGTGGTCACGGTCGTGGGGGGAGGTCGTCGCAGCACAAGCAATGCCAGAGGCGACAACGGCCGCAACAACCAACGCGGTCGTGCACGTAGTCCAAGTCGAAGCACATCTCCCCGAGGCCGCAGCAAGCGCCAGAAGAGCAAGAGTTCGTCGCGTGGCAGAGAAGCCATTGCTGCCCGAAGTGCAACGCGTGCGGGAAATCGGGTCACTGATGCGGCGACGCCGAGAGCTCCGAGCGCAACAACTCCGGTCGCAGTAACAACGGTCAACAGCAGCCGCGCAGTATGGGTGGAATCGTGGTTGTGAAGGACGTTGAGCCGGTAGCGCCGACTAGCAACAAAAACAAGGGGGTGGTACTTGCCGCGCAAGGCAGCACTCGTGCTCTGTGCACAACGTCTGACATGGTTGAGTGGATCCTGGACAGTGGTGCCCAGACGAGCGTCACCAGCGACCTCACCCTGTTCACGGAGCTTGGTGAGAACGCCACGCCTGAGTTGCAGTTCGGAAACGGAACGAGCGAGCTGGCACGGTTCTCATGCGTGTCGTGAATGAGCATACAGGCATGAAGGAAAAACGGTTCATGGAGATTGTTAGCTACTCAAAGTCGTCGCCATTTAATCTCTTGTCGCAGACGTACATGCAGTTCAACTACGGCTTCAAGGTTCGTGTGTCGGATAACCAGCTGGTAACGTGGCTCGTGAAAGACTCACTCAAGCTACGCTTCAACTACGAACGCGGTATGTACCGCATGTGGACCCCACGCGAGGCCAAGGCCGTGCTGCTGACCAAGTCCAACAGCGTTGAGGACCCCATGGTTGCTTCACAACCGCATGGGCCATGCGAGCATGGGTACTATTCGAGCAATGAAAGACAAGGAGTATACGTTTGGAATAAAGCTGCAGCAGCAGCGCTTTGCTCCTTACGAGTGCGTTCCATGTATTGAATCAAAGACCCGGCGCATGAGCTATACGCGTCGATCAACTCGTACTGCCAAGAAACTAGAGAAACTTTGCGTTGACCTCTGCAGCGTCGGAGTGGAGACGATATCGAAGTCCAACCAGTTCCTGTTGGTTATTGACACGAGATACAAGTGGGGGTATCTCCTGGCAACCAAGAGCCAAGCAGCTGCTAATATCAAGACGCTGACCAACAAGCACAAGGTGCAGTTTCCGAAGAACAAGCCCCTGATGTTATTTTCGAACGGAGGGGGTGAGTTCATTAACAACGACCTTAAAGTCTACTGCGAAGAGCAAGGGATAGAACTGCGCTCTACGAACCCGTACAGTCCGCAGGAGAACTCCGTCATCGAGCGTGCAGACGATACTGCGCCAGGTCCGGTCGATGCTTCATGCCACCCAGTAGCCGCTGTCGCTCTGGGGTGAGACGTTTCTACATACTATTGCTACACTGAACGTCAAGCCGACCCAGGCACTGAAGGACAAGAAGACCCCGCATGAAGCCCTGCATGGAGAACGCCCAGACCTCAACCAACTGCGTACATCGGGATGTCTCGTGCACGTACACATTCCTGATGACTCGCGCAAGCGCAAAGAGAAGCTGTCCGCACGCACACAGCTCTGTCTCCTACTTGGCTATAGCAACCAGACGAAAGGCTATAAGCTCCTGAACCTGCGCACAGGTTCCGTGACGACATGCAGAGTTGGTAATATGAAGACTCACGAGCAGTACATCGTGGACAGCGACTACGTGGAGAAGCTACTACGTAACACCTACGCGTACGGCGACTACGAGACTCCGCCCAGCATTCCGATCGTTCCGATCAGGACGACGATGAAGACGTATGCAGAGCTGCCCAAGGACGTCACCGCGCAGCGCGCGGCCCAGTTTACAATGCTGGACATCATTGAAGGAAGCACAGACGCAGTGGGAACATCCACCGAGAAAGTGACGACGGCAGTGACACCAGACTCAGCAGTACCTGCTGCTCCAGTGGGAGAGTGCAAGCGCAAGGGCAGTGCGCGCACTAACCGCATGCGCAAGCCTCGGACGAGCACGGGTTAGGGGAGCACGAAATTGCAAACTTCGCTGCTCGTCGTTAAGTTCGCGAGCACGAAAACAACGAAATTCGCGCTCGTAGCCTTTAAGTTCGAAAACCACGAGCACACTGACTCGAATGCTCGTTTATGTACCCATTCGGTCGGGTGCGTGCTCGTTCTAAGGGAATGTGATTGGTAAAAAATGTATTCGAAAATTTTGAATTAGCGATCTAAGATCGCAAATGGCATTGTAAGATTTCCACGGTAGGAGCAGCCTGCTTCTCTCGACACTCGACTTTCGACGACGACCGTGATTCTGGCCAAAAGAGTTGGTAAGAACTACTTCTTCCGGCAGTGTTGCTGTTGACGCTAGCAAGTGAATTATGCAGCAACCCCAGTCTGCGTTGAAGCCTCCGGCTGCAGTAAAGCAAGCCATCGCGAACTTCCAGTCGATAGGGCCGTTCAAGTTGATTCCTTCTGCAGAAAACGAGACTTCCTACATATTTAAGTGGGGAGTAAGGGTCGAGTACCGCGACGAGAACAACAAGCTCACAGTCCGGTGGGCGTGTTTGGCCGATGAAACGTTCTGAACGTCAGGTGAAAATCTCTACCGGATGTCTACAGGAAAGACATCCCCAGCTGCCCAGCATCTCCGACAGGTACATAATCTTGCATCGCCAAAGCCAGATGTTGAAGATACTGGTAAGAGGAAGCGAGATAGCGAGATCGACAAATTCGCCCCTCGCCGCTGTATACCAGCAATCCGTTCTTGATGGCTTCCAGGTTAGTAAAGCGGACAATAGCGCCGTGACGCTCGAAGTCCGAAGAGATCTTCTGGTAGCTCTCGACCGGCTTGGGCAGCGGCTTGTCCACGGTCTCTTGGTCATCGTTGCTCTCCTCCGAGTTGCGCTCACCCAGGTCCAGCGAGCTGGCCGAGCTGTTGCGTCGCATAGCACCCTGGCCAGGTCATCGTAACCCTCGGTGGGGGCAACACCACCCGCCAGCGCGTCGACAACAGGCGACTTGAACTGGAACGTCTTGGCAAAGATGTAATTGATGTTCATCGTTTCCATCGACTCGATGAGACACGTTGCACGTATAACTCCAGAGCCAACTCCCGGATCTTCTGGTCTTCGTGGTCGAGGAGCGAAATAAGCAGGTGGAACAGCGGCTGCGACTGGTCCAGGAGGTTCGCGCAGGCCTCAGTAATGTTCGTCGACGAGCCGTTAGTGAGATAGTCCTTGAGGATCATCTCCACCTGGCGCGGTACGACGGCATCTTGTTGTCAATAAAAAGCTGACGTGCTTCCAGAGCCACCAACGAGTACTGTTTCTCCTTGAAGGTAGGGGGCTTCTCGAGCAGCGGCACGAAGCAGCGGCCTTCACGGACTTACGAGGAGTACCACGCGCCATCTGAGCAAGAAGCTGCAGCAGCAGCTTGTTCTTCGACTCCAACGCCTTGTTCGAGAGAGCAATGGAGAAGACCTTATCCAGATCAGACGGGTTCTGCTGGCGCAAAGCCATCACCACGTCCTCAATGTTGTGTGAGTTCACGTACACGGTTTTCACCGTGAAGTACTCGTTGATCAGATCCGTCAGAACCGCCTCCTCGCCAGATCTCAAGCCGTGCTTGTACTTCCTGGCAATGTCGCGCAGCCTCAGGACGGACGCCTCGAAGTCCGAGCGCTTCCAGTTCGTGTCGAGCGTCTTCTTGTTCTCGTCCAAGGTCTCAGCAACCTCCGCGACGTTGAACTCGTGGGTGGCCGTCGGCTCCTCGGACGCAGCCTTCTTGAACGTCTGGACGTGTTCTCCGCGAACACGTCCAGCGGGATACGGTCAGCCAACGACGATATGGCCTCCTCGATGTCCAGGGCCCTGCAGCACGCTCTTGAGCACCGCCAGCGACTTGCGCATCTTGTGCACCGACTTGATACTGTTGCCGTTCGTGTTTTCCGACGAAGGCAGCTTGACCATGAACAATTGGTCCTCCTTACAACTTCAACTCCCAGCTCCCGATTTCCCAGGCGAATATCTTTGAAGCGTACGCTAGAAGAAGATTCTGATCCTGTACAGTGACTACGGCAACATCTAAACAAACGTTGAAAACAGATATTGCTTACATTAAATGTCTGCAATCACAACCCCATTTCGTGTCTACAGTCAATTCTTGGATTAGTGATTGTAGTGTAAGGTTGTACATACAGCTTCTCCTAGACGTGAATGCGTACCTGATCTCGTTTTCAAACGCCGGTGAACGCTGAATTCGTTCTTCTTAAGTATGCAGTCATTCCAACGCTGCTCACAGCGCATTATTTATTCGACGAATACCGCTGTGCCGCCAACTCCGCTCTGGTAGTAACTTCTTGTTGAAGGTCATTCACAAGCCGCTGCATTCGATTTGTGTGAGCTTGCTTGAGGTGACGCTGGGTTTGGTGTCGATGTTCTCCAGATTGACGTGGTGGAACAGAAGGATGGGTCTCGCGATGACGCCCCCGGTACTGAATTTGTCGTGGCGCGTCCTGCTGGAGTTGTCCAAGCTCCAGGCATTGACGGCGCCGTAGCTCAGATAGACGGTGTTCATGGTGCGTTTTATCCTGGACGAAGATCTGTGTTTGAGTAGGTGGTACCACCAGCAGTACACTGGAATTAAACGCGGCTCCACCGGTAAAGGGTAACTGAATTTGCGGAGATGAAACGAGTCCTTCACTGTCCTTGTAACTCCGAGCCAGAACTTCTGGTTTATTTTCAATTCGATTGTCTCGAAAGTTCTTGCCTTCGTGGTCTGGATTTGCTTCAGGAGAGACGTGATCAGGTTTGCTACAAAGGTAAGCATTTCGCCAAGCTTCCTTCATCCGATTTTCCATTTGACGGTCTTTCGGAGTCATCCAGACATCATCATCGGAGTCGCTATCTTCAAAACTGTGGTCACGGCTGAGTGAGAACTTGGTTATGCAGCGCATTCCACCGTTGATAGCGTTACCGATCGTCGTAGCTGCTGCTCCGATACTGCGCTCAAGAGTGGCATTGAGCTGCTCTGCATATTCCTTGTGTTCTGTGTCACCTTTCAAAACTGTGCTTGATTGTTGTGACTGTTCTTGTCGCTCATGACCCACTAAATCTGGGTCGTTGAGCAGCACATCCTGGATAGAAATTTTTAGCCATGCTTCATCAATTCGATTCGACTGGTGCTTGAAGCGCATTTGCTGCTTCTGCAGATTTTCACGCAGAACCGACGTTGCATCCGCTTGGCGTTGAATTTGTAGGTTCATTCCGACTGTGTATTCGTAACTAGACTCTGCACGCGAGATTCAAGTTGACGCGCCGCCTGCGTTGTCAGCTCCAAAATTAAATGCCGGACTGGTTCCTCCATACTGGTTGTAATTTCACGTTGAATTTCGCTGCGGGCACGCTGGAGCTCTGTATCGATTGTTTGTTTTGCCTCAGCAATAGCTGCAGCTACCGTTTCGTCCACCACTTCCCGTACTTGCTTCGCACTTAAAGAATCATGCTGCAGGCTTGCCAATTCATCTTGAACGACTTGGCGAATGTGACTAGCGAAAGTAGCTTGGCTATTGGCGATAGTTTGTTCGATCTCGACCAAAAGCTTCTGAGCGATGTCCGTCTGCGAGGTAATCACTTGACTGGACTGATGCACGTTTTGAAGAGCCGCACCCAGCTTCTTATTGACGAATTCTTCCATCTGTATAACTCGGTCCCCTTCCAGCGCCTGCATTCGCTGGAATTGAGATGATAACTCGCTTTGTGTCGTAGCTAGAGCTTCACCAAGCTGATGGCAAGTGTACGTTGTTGTTCAGTAAGCTGATAGACTCTTGTTTCAGTCGAAGCTTGAACAGCCATCAGCGCCGCGTTTTGTGCATTGTTTTCTCCACGCTGACGATGCTGGAACATGGCCTGTTCTTCAGCAAGGGCCTGGGTTTGGGTAATGAAGTGCTGCGCAATGTTTATGACGCGTTGGGTTGCGTTTGGAGAGAGCTCTCGCGCTGGCGTCTGTGTGGCCATATGTGGGACGATGGCGGTGTCTTCACAATAATTGAAGCCGTGCCCAGCAGGGGATACGTATCGGATCTCGGATGGATGTTCAGTGTGGGCGGGAGCTGGTTGGGCTTCAGACAAGGCCACAGCTTGGGCAGTGGTGTATGCGGTTTGGGCGTCGTCATGTGCAGCAGCATGTGCAGCGGCTTCAGCAGCAGCTTGGGCGCGAGTCAGCACCATTGTTTCTCTCCTCGGAGGGAAATAACGCTTTCAGATTGCAAAATATGCAGTCGATTAATAGCCAGTAAAAAAACATTGTTTTCGGCAAATTATATCGCAGAAGAACGAGCAAAATTGGCGCGCTCCCCCCCCCCCCCTGAAACTGATAATGGCTACGAGCACTAAAACCTCGACGAGCACGGCTCGTGCGATTTTCGTGCTCGTCAAAAAACCTCACGAGCACGGCCTCAAAAGCTCGTCCGAGGCTTGCGCATGCGTGTGATGAAGTCGGTCCCAGCGAAAATTGAAGCTTCTGAGCGACCGAAGTGAAGGCGTTAGCAGTCTGTGCGCCTGAAGGGCTAGCGTAACGGCGTCGAGCGTTGAGGATGTGCAAATTCCGGTCAACCACAAAAAAGCAGCAAGATCAAAGAAGTGGCTGGACTGGAAATTGGCGATGCAGGTAGAGATGGACTCGCTGAGCCAGCATGGCACTTGGATCCTGGTGCCGCGCACCGATACCAAGGGCAAGCGTGTCATCTCGTGCAAGTGGGTATACGCTCTCAAGCTCGATGCAACCGGGTGCATCAAACGCTACAAAGCAAGACTGGTAATGCGGGGTTCCTCCAGCGCATGGGCATTGACTACAACGAAACGTATGCTCCCGTAATCCGGTTCGAGACGATACTGTGTGTTTTCCTGTTCGCGTTGCAGCGTGGATGGGCTATCTTGCAGTATGACGTAAAGACAGCGTTCCTCTATGGCGACCTCGACGAGGAGGTCTACATGGAGCAGCCACCGGGCTTCGGTAACGACTCTCCGAACTACGTTTGTCTACTCAAGAAGAGCCTCTACGGTCTTCGACAGGCGCCGCGCGTCTGGAACCAGACACTGTACAAGTTCTTAACGAAGATTGGGCTCGAGCACCTTGACTCCGACAATGGTCTCTACGCAAAAAAAAAGTGGGAGGAGAAGTGACATTGCTGCTTACTGTCTACGTCGACGACCTTCTACTGCTAGGCCCGAGCGACCTGTGCGCCCAGGTTTCGCAGCAGCTCGCCGCTGAATACGAGCTGAACGCCCTCGGAAGTATCTTCTCGGGGTGGAGATCCTTATTGACCGCCAGCGGCGGCACGCTATCTTCTGTCAGCGACAGTATATTCGAGAAGTACTGCGACGATTTTCACATGGAAGGGTGCAACAGTGTTGCAACACCGGAAGCGCTGCGCGCTGAGGTGGTGACCAAGAGTAACAAGTGACACAGAATCACCGTACCGAGAGCTTGTCGGTGCACTTCAGTATTTGGTTTCTGCGCCGAGACCAGATATTGCTCATGCCGTGCGGCATCTCAGCAAGTACCTGTCCTGCTTCGACCACAGCCATTACGCCATGGCCAAGGGAGTACTGCGTTACCTCGCTAGCACAGCCAACTACGGCCTAGTAATGGACGTACCTGCCGAGACCGATGTCCAGCTGGTGTGCTACACCGACGCTGACTACGCGAACGACCGTGATGACCGAAAGAGTGTGAGCGGGTTTGTGACTTTCGTTAGCAGCAACGTGGTCTCGTGTGGATCACGAAAGGAGGAGATCATCGCACAGAACACAACTGAAGCGGAGTATATTGCAATGAATGACAGCGAAGCCTGGCAAGCACAGTAAGTCAAAGCATATCCAGAACAAGTTCCATCTAGTTCATCACCTGGTTGAAGAGGAGCGGATTCGCATTCGCCATGTCGGAACAGACGACATGATTGCAGATAGCATGACCAAGCCACCAGCCACGCTGAAGTTTGAGAGCTGCCGCGAGGGTATAAAGGTGCTGCGCATCGACCGCGTGTAGACGTCAACTCGTTCAGCGGGAGCCAAGTCAAGACGTCGCTCATGACCTCGAAAAGATGCAGCGCGTCTTGGAAGCTATAGGGGGCTAAGAACAAGGCTAAGGGCAAGGACAAGGACAAGGACAAGGACGAGCATCAGGGCAAGAACGACTACTGCAACAGACCTACGCTATTGGTGATCATGTTGAAGTGCACTTCAACTTGATCAAGAGGGAGTGTGATTTGCAGAAGAGCCGGTACCCGCAGTGCAGGCGCCCGGCAATTGCTCTGTCGTCCAGCAGATGACTGGCTGCAGCGCAGTTCAATAGTTAGATTATATATAATAGAGCTTTTGGGTTTTGGCTGGTGGCGGCGCCTCTCACTCCAGCATTTGCATTGCCAGCCTTTCTCTCTGCGGACACTTGAGTCCCGCACATAACAGTGTTAACGCAAGTTACCTTTGCACCAGTATGGTAGAGACCCGAAGCCGGGCTGCTACCAATTCACAATTCCTGTCCGTAGTGTAGCGCCGCGTTCCTTGAGCCATGGACGGCGATTTCTGTTGTGCTAAAATGCGTTTACAACCTTGACTTGGTTTTACTATGGCAATTTGCACCCCTGCGTTTGCAACCCCAACTTAATTTTACTATGCTGGGGCTGACTTGCTATTTGTATGCTACGGTTGCAAAAGTCCGCCGTTCATGCGACGGTGCTTGCAACGAAGGTTGTAAACGGCACCCCAATTTTATGCGTGGTACCAGCCTCAAATCCGGTCACTACGGACCATATAGCCTATAACAGGATTATTATTATTGAATTAAATGGAATTTTAGTAATACTGACGATCCCCTCGGTAGTAATCACTTGACTTGGAATACTCCCTCAACAGCATTAAATTAGCGGTTTCCGTTGACCACTCACTTACAAACCCAAGATATTATTCCCTCTCGCTAGATTTATTCGGATGGCCTGTACAGTTAAGGCTGTTCCCACAGTTAAGTACCCCAGAATAGGAACATTTGACTTTATATGTATTTACGATTGAGGGTAAATGACTTTTGGTTCTTGTGGCCTGCATTCTTCCAAGTTCTGCGTGCGCTGAATTTTTCGCAATCCGCTCACCGATCCATCGGATACTCCAGTCGCGCCGGCACGAACGAGAAACTTAGCGATCCACATGAGATGCTCTTTAATTGCTTCTGGCTCAAGGCCTCCTCAGTCCATGTACTACGCTCCATATCGACCGCGTCCAGGTTTTCTGAGCCATTCTCAGAGCCATCTACAGCCAATCTAGGTTACCAACTCCACAGAAGTCTGCATATATGGGATCTTCTGCAGTTGTGTTCTCGTCCGGCGCGTTCAGAAGCTCGTCCACGGACATCGTGCAGGCGAGATAACTTCGTCGCAAGCTCATCGGACATTGCATCATCTTCGTCTGGATCTTCGAAGATGCAATTGAAGTAGTCTAAACGCCCGGTGTGCTTCCTGCATCTTGCGAAGTGGAACGGTGAAATAAACTAATCGTTTCCACTACTTATGTAATATCTGAGTGGCTCTTGCCACGCGTACACTCGTACAATTCGCTGGAAGCAGGTCGCAGCTTAGCATTGGAGCCAAAGCACACGCTGAGTACTTCGATTGGCTGCTTACACGCGGGACCCACTCGAAGTGAGCGATCACCCGTCTAGGCTCTCTCTAGTTTTGTTCATTGACATGATAAGCCTTCGATCCAATGCATCATTATCTGTTTTACCTGCATCTGCACAGTCCGTCTTCAGTCTTGACAATTACCAGATAT